GGATGCGTTTTACTCGCTCGCCGGTTCGTGGATTCGCTTAACCCTTTGACTACTGGTCGGTCGGAGGTGATCGGAAAATTTGCGTCACACTGTGATCGTTTAACCGTTTGCACTTGGAAGTTTTTCTAAATAATTGGAAAGGTTGCAGAAGAATATTCTGTTTCCAATATCGAATTAATGTCTAAAGAATTTTCTGTGCTCGAAAGTTTCCGTTCCCATCGCGAAGAACCGCGTCCCTTCCGCGTTCTTTAATTATCCGAGCAAATCTCGGGGATTTCGAAAAGTCAACGTTACCTCGGATCGAGATGCAGTGCAACTAATTTTTATGGCATCTCTAGTGAAAATGAAGAATGCTGTAATATTCCTTCCTTTTATTTTCCTTAGTACAAAATTTCGATGCGTGGGAAATTTAATAATTTTGAGGTAGTTTCTTTGATTCATTAAAATGTTTGATATAACTGGTGCAATATTGGAGCCTACAGAGTGCAAAGGGTTAGTACGCTAAGAATTCGATATAGAATGCGAATAAATGAATGATGACGAGCGCTCTGGCTGAATTCTGAAAATTGATGGAGGTATTGAAATGATAAATAAGTAAGTTGATTTTCTGCTACGATAAGTTTAGCAGCGTCAGCGATGGTTGACTTGCTAGTTTGACATCTGGTAGATTTCCTGTTACAAAACGTAACTGTTCTAAAGATAACCGGCAGAATTTCCGGCAAACAGCTCGCCGTGCCCGCAAATCCGGTATAAACCGAATCAAACTCCACGTATTTTATTAGCGGAAGTTCAATCGGTCGTGGTAACGTCAATTAATAATTCCCTGTATTGGATCCGGCGGATTTCGAGTTTGATTAATATCGGCGAGCGGAACCGTCCGCGTCCAAGTTAATTTCCTGAAATAAGCGGCATTTCATTCTGTGCCGGTGCGCATTACAGGGGGATGAACGGGGTTCTTGTTTCGAGAGCCTCGCGACGGAATTTACGCGAATGATCGCCGATGATGCTCTCGCGACAGATTAACGAGGAAAATCTGGGCGCGATTAAACACTTGTAACGAAATCAGAAATACGACAGGATTTCGCGCGGACAATTTTGTCTTTGACTATTATAACAGGTGTGGACACAACTGTTGTTTATTGATAATTTTGCGCAAAGTGGTAGATTTCAGAACAATCTGAAATATGTTATCTAATGATTCTTGCCTTATAATAACATGTTAGACATGTGGTGCAGATGTTGAGCAGAACTAGCGTACACGTTTGCTCGATTCCTTTGAATTCGAATGAAATATTGGAGCAATGATTGATATGGAATATGCCTATAATTTTGTTTCTTTCTTTACTGAATCATTAATGACAGAGTAGTTGTATCGATCGTTTAATAAATCATTAATTAATAGTACCTAGCATTGAAGTTTGCTTGATCCTTTCGAATCCGAATGAAATATTCTTCTGTTATCAGTTATTACACTTCGACGTAGAGATTGATATAGAATATGCCTATGAATTTGTCCTTTTCCTTAATACATCATTAATGATAAAGTAGTTGTATCGATCGTTTAACCGTTTTAGCGTCATGCAGCGCGATCGCGCTCACGTACTGTGGTGAAATGTGCCACTATGTTTGGTCACGATCGTCAATTCGAAGCGCTATCGCGTTGCATGGCACGATCCGACATGGAATTTTAAAAACTCCTAGCACTTGAAACGGTTAATAAATCATTAATGACAAAGTAGCAGTAACTAACATATACGTTCGCTCGATTCTTTTGAATTCGAATGAAATATTCTTCTATTTTCAATTATTACACTTTGGCGTAGAGATTGATATAGAATATACCTATAATTTTGTTTCTTTCTTTAATAAATCATTAATAACAAAGTAGCAGTAGCTAGCATAGACGTTAGCTCTAACCTTTCGAATTCAAATGAAATATTCTTCTCTTTTCAATTACAACACTTTGACGTAGAGATTAATATAGAATATACCTATAAATTTCTTCTTTTCCCGAACAAACCATTAATTACAAAGTAGTTGTATCAATCGCATCAGAGAAGTAAATCCTAGAGCAAGGGGTTAAACCGTTATTCTCGCGGTCTCGAGGTTACGGAGCGATTAAAAATGACTCGAGGCGGTTCCCAGTGAAAACAAAATTCTTAGCAAAGCGACCGTGATCCTCCTCCTGACCGCCTCCCCGTGCCGGAGGACTCTTGTCGCAGATGTTTGAATTGAGATTACGACATTCTTACTTTTTCTCGTCCCCGGGGCGAAGATCAGAATCTGAACCGCGGCGAGAGCAGCTGGACCACCGCCATATTTTTCCTTCCCTTTTTCTTACTCGCGTGTAACCTTACACCGCGGGTCATTTCCATTCTACAATCTCGGCGCCCGAAACTCGCGAAACAAACACTTACGCCGGTGTTTATCGGGTGAGCGAGAAACCTGCAGCCTCTGGCGAACCTTCCAATATCTTCGACATCGTGTCGATCTTTTCCATAAATCGATCGTGTAAGAGATCGTTGGAATTATTATGGAGTTTCATTACCCTAAGTATCTAATATTAACCCTTTGCACTCCAGAGACGCCTCTAAGTCAAATGATTTGACACAGCAAAACTAAACTTTGATATTTAATATTGAACTTTGTATAGTGCATCAGTGTACGAAATATTGAAAGAAAATAGTTCTGTCCCTCGATCCAAAATGTCGTCTGTATCTCATTAGAAAATATTGAATATTTCCGGTGAAAAACTTCTGGAGACATTGAATCTCGTTTTAACCCTTTGCACTCGAAAGTTTGTCACTGGAAATATTTTTCCTCTCGACGAGATATGGACATTGGAAACTAATTCAACGATAATTCATAGATAAATTAATGACAAAGCTATTTTATTTAAATATTTCCTATGGCAATACAAAGTTTGAAGTACTGAATATTCAACTTCATAGGTTCGATGTGTCAAAGCAAGTCGAGTCACCTCTGCAAAGGGTTAATATATAAATATATCAAATATTTCTTTTAGATCTATAAGGAAATATTTTTCAAATGATTATCAAATAGTTATTCCATATAACGGAGTAATACTCTCCACGATATAGAATAGATATTAATTTGACATTGGAAACAGAATATTCTTCTTCAACTCTTAACACTAAAACTACCGAGTTAAATCGACTTCTTGAAATTCCTCTATAGAAACTCCAAGAGTCTATTGAGGTTTCAATTGACTTGGAATTCAGTTTATGTATTGCTAAGTCAGTTTCTCTACTCAATCCTCAGAGAAGCGTCAACTACCTTCTTAATAATTGCAAGAAGAAGGAACGCGGAGTGGGTCGTTTTGATTCGTCCGGTAGTTTCAGTGTTAAATTATTTAGTTGCTACTGTATACGGTTGCTTCGCGGTCAGATGGAAAGGAAATCGAGATGAATCGTTGACGGACGTTGATTTATGGAAACTGGTTCGTATCTCGATCCGAGGTAACGTTGACTTTTCGAAATCCCCGAGATTTGCTCGGATAATTAAGGCGGAGAACGCGGAAGGGACGCGGTTCTTCGGAATGGGAATGGAAACTTTCGAGCACACCCAATAGAAGGGTTCCGCGCGCGGAACTTCGGTCGGATCGTGAATTAAAGCGGGAACGAAATTACGTGCAAATTGCGACGACGCGTTGTTCGCATATTTCATGCGGCGACACGGAAATCAAGGCGATGTTTAGCCGTTCGTTAACCCGCGGAAGAGGACCGTACTGGCCTGCGTACTTACGTAGAACACGCGCGATAATTGCCGATACGATAGCAGGTCCACCTTTGAACTACAATCTTGATGAACAATGGCGTTTTCATAAAGGAAGAAATAAACTGCAAATGTTTATATGCTTATGTAGTGTTTGCAGTTTATTTCTTCTTTTATAAAAACACTATTGTTTATCAAGATTATGGTGCAATGTTTACATGCTTAAGCAGTGTTAGCTTCTGTGCGTAGAATTCTGTATAAACAAAGATAAGTCTGTACTTGTATATTTAATATATATAAATGTTATAGAAGCTATTTATAGTCTTTTAATTAATAAATAAATGACGTAGGTTCTCTCCGGTGATTAAAATCGCATTTTGCGCAGTGAAACAGATAATTCGTGCCGTTTCTACCGTAACATCTAGTGTATAAAACGGCACGAATCATCTGCGCTTTAAAATCTGTACTTTTGACTACTAGCGCCATCCGTGGGAAAACGCTCAAACTGGTAGCCAATTGTTACCGATCGAAGAATTCATAAGGTCGACGGTGGCGCCATCCGTGGGAAAATGCTCAAACTGGTAGCCAATTGTTACCGATTGAAGAATTCATAAGG